CCATGTGCTTCTTTCTGACATGTATGCTGGCTGTTGTTGAGCTGCTTTGAAATGCTCGTTTTGTAAAAATTCTTGTGTTTCTTTGTTAAAATTCATGCAAGTAAATAAAGTATAATCTGCAAAAGTCAGAGATAGCTTTTAATTGTACAGGAACAGCACTGAATTTCAGTGGCTCGTGGCTTCTCTATTTTAAAGCATATTCTGCTTAACACTCTTCAGCATGTATCTTGCAGGCGTTTTTGCTGCTTTCAAAAAGCATGACAAAAGGGAGAATGAAAAAAAATATTTTTTTTTTGCCTTTTTTTCGCATTTCTCTAGGTTTAAAATAACAAAGAGAAACTCAATTGAAATATCCCTTAATGAGATGGGGGGGAATTGTTTGCTATTGGTATAATACATGTCCTAGTGTTGCTTTTGTGATTGTGAAATGGATGTGTAGTGGGCCTGGCTGGGATAGAGTTAATTTTATTTGTAAAAGCTTGTAGGGTTCTACGTTCTGGATCTGTGATCAAAACAGTGTTGATAACGCACCAGTGTCAGTACTCAACAGCGCTTATGCAGTGTCAAGGCGTTTTATGCTTCTTGCATTGCCCCACCAGCAGTAGGCTGGGGTGTGTGAGAGCTGGGAGGGGACACAGCTGGGACAGCCAATCCCAGTTGACCCCAAGGGATATCCCATGCCATATGACACTGTGTTCAGCATGCAAAGCTGGGGGAAAGGAGGAGGAAGGGGGGCCATTCAGAGTTACAGTGTTCATCCTCACAAATAACTTGCGTATGCAGCTTCCGCTTTGCCTATTAAACTATCTCAACCCATGATTTCCACACTTGCCTTTGATTCTCACTCCCATCCCACTTAGGGTTTGTGGGAGTGAGGGAATGGCTGTGTGGGCATCAGCTACCTACCAGGGTTAACCCACAACAGGGCAGAAGCATGTCAAAGGGAAAGTAGGTGCTGGGTATTGTCAACCTGACTAATGAGAACCACCAGTAGGGGGCATGTGGTCAGAGACTGAAGTCACGTTTCGCAGCTCGTTTTGTGTTTTGCAAGGCTGCTTCTTTAGGGCAGCTGGAGAATGTTCGGAAGTTGAGGTAGGAGCATGACAAAAGGAAGCAAGTTGTGGATAAGAGTACAGCTGAGTATGGTTTGTAGAGGAATTGTCTTGAGCGAAAGGAATATCTAAGTTGTTAGAGTGCTCTTCAAAGAGGACAGCATGAATGTCCTTACAGTCCTCCCCTTGCCAAGTAAAGGAAATCAATCCAAGGCACTGCAAATGTGTGTCCTTACCTCCTGTAATCCACAGGGCTTTTTGGATGGCAGCCTCATTCTTTGAGAGCAGAGTGCTAATGTGCATGATCAGCTTGTGAGCTCTTGATCATCTTATCAATTCTTTACACCTTGTGTGTTTTTCTGCTGTCTTGGTCCAAGAATTAGATGCAGCATCTCCAAAGGCTATGCCAATGCTCTGGTTATGTTGTTTAAATAAAACACAGTCAAAACTCCTGAGGGTCAGAAACAGTTCCTATTGAAGGTTCCTATGGGATTAATATTGGACCCTTTGTTAGGGCCCGATCAATTAAGCTGTTAGCTTGGTCCAAGAAATTTACTGTCTGTGGCACAGTTGCAAGTCTAAGTGCTGATGCTGAATAAGGAGGACTGCCTGGGTAGCATTATGTTGCTAACTATACTAAGTGAATTCAGTCCCAGAGTGACTGTTTCTAAAATGCATAGTGGAATGAATTACAGCACCACTAAAGGGAATGAATTGGGTAAACCTACTTTGATGGCAAAATGGCTTCAAATACATGTCTCTTTGCTACTCCAAAAGGCTTCAGTGTATCTGATGTGTAGGCTATGATCTTCACTTCTGCTCCACAGGGTATTCACCATCTTGTTGCTTGCTGTGTGTACTCCCTGCAAAGTTTCCTTTCAGGTGCTCTTGTAGTATTGTGCATTAGAAATTCACAAGGGAAATCCAGGAAGCAGTGCTTGAGATTTTCAAATGACAGGCAGATAGCTATTAGCAGTAATCCTCTTTCTGTATTCTCCAAAGAGCTCTTTGACAAGGGTGTGTGCAGGACAGGAAGCACTTGACAGTATTCAGCTCAAATCCTTCCACTGCAAATGAAGGAAGCAGAGACCCTCCATCATCCTCAGCACTGGTGCAGACAGCCTGCCCTGGGAGGCAATGTCTCCATAGTTGTATGTGGTGGGGGCCAGTCTCCTGCATCTTCCTAAAAGGCCACCCAGAAGTTATGTGGGCTTGGAGAGCAATAGACACTGAAAGTTATGGTCAGCTCAAATCCTGCAGCCAAAAGCCCCTGAAACAACACTGAGATGAGCACTGTGTGGGGTTGTATGGGGGTTTTTTGATTCCCCCCCCCCAGCATCCTCATCCCTCTTCTTCCCTTACTTGTGTGTGATGGATGGATGGCAGTGAAGTAGCTCTCCTGTCGCAGCTAAAAGGAGGGTGATCCCTACTTGGTCAGCTAAGTGCTTTCAAGTCCCACAGGGCCTACCTGGAGCTGTTGACAGCCAGAGGAAAAGGGGAGTGGGATTACAGAGGAAGGGTGTTCTTAGTTTAAGAAGCTCTGCACCTTTGACTTGGGGGGACGACGACAGTATGGGTCAATGCTATTTCTATAGGACAAAGAATAGGTTATTCTGCTGAGGATGTGTAAGTGGGACTGGCAGTAAGGTCGTGTCTAGGAAATAAGAGATGTAAAGCTTTCTTTCGCAGAAGGAAGGCATCCAGTTGGCATGTCCATGTCTGACCATCAAAGAATCTCTCTTCCAAGGCTGTCTGTGACTTTCGGGCTGCATCTCATGGCTGTAGGAAGGATTACTTATTGTTTAAATACAGCCCCTCAAAACTAATGTGTAGAGTGAGAATTCTCCCTGTTCTGTTTTTTGTCCATAATGAACTTCCCAATGATTCTTAAATAAATTACCAGTTATGCATTTTCTTTAAATTGCATATTGCTTATCTGTACCTTTTATAGACATAAAAGGGAAGAAGTTGGCCAAGTGGGTTGGCTGTGGTGAAAACAACCTTTCTGTGTTGCATATGTATAAGTGTGTACTGTGGGCATGCAAATCCGAAGGAGTGTGATTGTACTTCAGCTGATGTCAATGAAGTTACAAATTATAAACAAAATCAAGATTTGTCTCACTGTGGCCTTCTTTGAATCCGTACTTCCTTGATCTATGGTTTTAGCTGATTTACAGTTAGTGACTCCATAATTCCAGACTTTTCTGCCAAAACCCATCAGCCTTCCCCATGAAGATCTAAGCTTTTATTTGGGAAGGAAATAATTTAGTTAATTTGCTGAATAAGTGTGTGGTAGTGTTTTGTGGGTAAGCCTAAGGGAGAAGATTAAAATCACAAAACACATTTGAACATCAGCTGGCTGTATAAAATACAAGACAATGAAAGTCAAGACAATGACAGCAACAATTTAATAGTTTATTTAAAAATCTCTAGCATTTTGCTACAAAACTGCGTAGTGATCTGGGCTCTGAAATGCTTGTGTGTACAATGGGTACGATAGCTTTTCTTATACCAAGACTTGGATTTAAACTGGAAGCAACTGGAAGAACATTACTTTGTAGAAAGTCTGAGGACGCTCTTCCCTTGTTTGCTGATCAGTCTAGCTATTGGCACATGTGAGCTCTTAATCTTAAATTACATCATTTCAAAGAAATCTGCACTCAACATTTGCATTAAAGGATCGCTTTTAAACAAATACTAGCAATAACCACACGATAAATTCTGGCTTTCCATAAGTTCATTACTGTCTGCTTCTGATTGCCCTGCTGGCATTGTATCATCTCTCTCATGACACAACTGTTGACTAAGGCTTGATGTTTCACACATGGAACTTTGTGAAAGTTTCACCAGACCACACAGCTGATTTGAGGAGCTAGCAGGTTTCACCATCCGCTGCAGGAAGTCAGTTTGAGAAACAAGGTGGAAAGAGACAAGAGGGTTCTGATTAAAAACAGCAAACCAAACCTAAGACAAAACCCCTTCTGTACAGAAGTAGCTAGTGAAATTAATGTTACTTTATGTAAATCCAGTAAGTGGTTGTGACCATAAAGTGACCAGAAGCATAGGAATAAGGCTGAAGTTGAAAGAATAGACAAGCAGGTCCCAGGAGTGTGAAGATACATCATGTTTAGCATTTCCCTTCTGTTTGGGTTTACATCATGAACAGCTGTGTGATCTGATCGCTGCGGGTGGACACCATCAATTCAGCTTTATCTTGTTCATATTCATAGACCCTTCTGTGAAATAACCCAATTTCAGCTTCAAGGGTGCTGCAAAAACCAGAAGCAGTTTGTTCTGGTGGTCTAGGAAAAGTAGCCCTTCTGAAGGAGAGAAATAAACTTTCCCTGCTTATAAAATTAATGAAATAAAGAAAAATGGGGCTTTGAAAAGCTTTAAGGGCTTTTGTAGTTGTCCTGGCTGTGGCTAGGTGACTTGGTACCAAACTAGAGGCATTCTTGAGGTTATCCTGGTAACATAAGATTTGAATTAGTGATGTTTAAGCCTGTTAAAACATAAATTGAGGTTGGGACCGCAACATTGCTTGAAATTGCTAGTAATAACAATGTCTCTGTATCTGTGGAGTCTGTTTAAAGGAGTATGATGAAAGTGGGGGGGGGGGGGAGGGGGGGAGTGGAAGCTAAATACTCAGTTGCTGTCCCTTTCAGAACATTTGGGTATCTTAAGTTCAGCATGATGAAATCACAAACAGACAAAAAAAAAACAAACCCTGACCAAAATCTGAAAGAGCTGGTTCTAAAGTGTTTAATTTAGGGATCTCAAAACATACTTTTACTGTATGTGGTATTGCAGTCTCTGTGTTCAAAGCAAGTCAAGCTCCTAAATCATATTAGTTCATTGATGCGGTCACCTCTGTTTCTTTCCTGAAAACTCAAGGCTCATGGCATCACACTTTATAATGAAGACTGAAACTTTTTTTTTTTTTTTTAAGCAAAGAAGGACTTTTACAGAATCTTTTAACTCCAGAAAAGGCAGTAAGAATCTTGAAACATAGGATTTTCAGTACTATGTATTATATGCTGCCTCATTTTTGACCACAGGGTAAGCATGTTTCATCTGTCTGTGATGGGCAAGTTGAGACAAGATGCAATGGTGTTATTCCTCCCAGGATCCCAGCATGAGGACAAACCCCGCTATTCCTCACTCTGTTCCAATTGCATTGGCCAGTGAACTCTAAAGGGCTCTACTGTGCTTAACTTTATGATGCTTTTAGTTAACTGCTATCAATCTCTTTGGGGTTTTATCTTGGTTCTTATGGTGCTTACTGTGGTTTAAACTATCAAGATTCAGAGTGTGTGCAAGTAGTATTTTGTAACTGAAAGGTGTTTTCCATTTCCATTTCCATCTTGTTCATAGTCCTTGAATTAAGTCACCATGGAAAAATGCCAAAAAATACACCCTTATTTTTTTGGCAAATAAATGTAAAAAACTTGATGCCTCAAGCATATTACATGCTTTGCAGGAAATTCCCAGCCTCTTACAACAAAGAGACAGCCAGGCACTGTATCAGCTTTTCAGAGCAGATCAAAATTGCAGTTACTTTCAGGGATTGTGCAGCTCAATGTCAGAGCTCACCTTTTTGAGTACCATTCACATGCACCCATTTCTAGATGCCTGGTATCCAAGATGTATTCTGTGGCCACTGTTTGACGGGCACTATCACATGAGCCAGATATCCATAGCAACTTCAAAATGCTAAGAACTAAAGTAAATTGACAAATACAGATGCACATGTATCTCGAACTGGAGAGCCCAAGCCTATAGCATGTTACTGAGGTACTATAGTATATTTCATTAGTAACAAGAGCACTTTTTATATTGGAATATTTGAATGTGTTTGAGGTGAAATTCCATTCTACAACAAGGAATTTAGGAGTTGTCATCCTATTATATGAAGACTATTTGATGTGTATTGATATAGTGTGTGCTGATAAACCTAACTGCGTTTTCATGAAAAGTGTTTTATGTGGGATCAGGCTGTGTAAAGCAGAATCACCCTAGACAAAGGGCTGAGCCTAGAAGACATATTATTAATAGTTACTTGTGTTCTAGCAGAAAGATGTAAATTGCCCAATTCATGTTCTCATATCAATACATTAGCCTTCAGTGCTTGTGTCTGGCATGCCAGTAAAGTCATGGGAAAAGGGGTTCCCATCTTGAGGTGGTGCAGCATACAGCAAGGACATATGTACGATCCCCATGGCAAATTAAGAGGTATTTGGCCTTGCTTGTCTCCATTCTTTTCCTCTTCAGTTACTATGGTCTGAAGGATGGGATTCTCCCAAGGGAGACACAAGGCATTTGTGGTGTACCAGGACCAATCTCCTTTAAACAGGCTTCAAACCAAATTAAACTCAACATCTAAATAGCTGTGATCTCGGGTGGTGGTGGTGGAAATAATTAGAGCCAAATCTGGACCTCCCAATTCAAATCCCAAGGACAGCTTAAAACAATGGTTGTACGTGGACTGTGACTGGTACTTAGGATGTAGGCTGCTGGCTCTTTTTTGCTCTTCAGTCACAGTAAGAAAAGCTAGGGGCAGGACTTCTAACCTCATAGAATAGCTAGGTTTGGAAAGGACCTTAAGATCATCTAGTTCTAACCCGCCTGCCATGGACAGGGATACCTCACACTAGACCATGTTGCCCAAGGCTCTACCCAACCTGGCCTTGAACACTGCCAGGGATGGAGCATTCACAACTTCCTTTAGCAACCCATTTCAGTGCCTCACCACCCTCACAGTAAGGAACTTCTTCCTTATATCTAACCTAAATTTCCCCTGTTTAAGTTTAAACCCATTACCCCTTGTCCTGTTGCTGCAGTCCCCAATGAATAGTCCCTCTCCAGCATCTTTGCAGGCCTCCTTCAGATACTGGAAGGCTGCTATGAGGTCTCCATGCAGCCTTCTCTTCTCCAGGCTGAATAGCCCCAACTTTCTCAGCCTATCTTCATACAGGTGGTGCTCCAGTCCCCTGATCATCATTGTGGCCCTCCTCTGGACTTGCACATCATCCTTTCATGTCATTTGCAGATAAAAAAATTCTGATCAGCAGCTCTGTAAAGCTGGTACAACAGGATCAGTGGGCTGTAGTTCATGCCACAACTGCAGGCAACCATTGCACACTGGCCTGGACTGGTAAGGCACATCCCTGAATGCTACCTTTTTTTCATGCTGGGGACATTTTTTGGGAAAAGCTGACCAAAGGGAAAAGTTATTGCACACTCTGTGAGTCTGACTGAAAACTCCGTAACTGCTTTTAGTGCTTTTATGCCCTCTGGAATTCCTAGAGCAAGTTTTTCTTGCCTTATGGATGAAAGAGGTGCTTGGATGTCCCAGAATGCATTATTTTCCTCAAGTCAAACGTTTTGATCAAGATGGAGTTAGTTCTATTTTCTCCTCCTGTTTACCTGTACTGTATTTCATGTGATGGGGCACCATGGTATCACATTGTGATGTGGGAGCGTAATTTCCTTCCTCCTCCTTAGGATCTGAACACTTCCATTGTATGCTTGGATTGCACATTCTCACTTCAAGCTGCTTTTTCCCTGCTGCAGCTTTTTCCCTGCCACAGCTTTTTGAAGATACTGGTAAAATTTGGACTTTTAGCACATCTTGTAATGTATAAATTTATCAGATAAATGTGGATCTCCTGTAGAGCCTAATGATGTAAAAAAATAAACCGTGAAAGCAGTGCCAAGTTCAGTTCATGAACATTAGTAGTTTTAATGGCAAGAGTTTATGGTGGAAACCTTTTGTGGAAGGCTCATGTCACTTAGACACAAATAACTGTAGTGACAGTACAAAATTACCGTTGACTTCAACAGGGTCAGGATTTAAAGCTTTAGTTTCAAAAAGCGGTTGAGAACTGAGTTACTGCTATATACCGGTGTGATCGGGAACCTAGATTCATAGCTTGAAAAATTAGTTGTGCAATGTAGCAAAAATATTCAGGAAGCCTCTGAAAAACTTCCCTTTTCACTCACTTTTTATTCTCACTTATTTGATAGCCTGTGGAGTACTGCCTGTCAGTTATCCGTGTAGGAATGCCTAAAAGTTTGAGACTTCTAGAACTTAAAGTCTGGAAATCATTTTATGGCTCTAAAGTCAGATTCTGCTGTTACTCAATATTTGTGTGGAGCCACAGGTGATTTACGTGTCCTCTGGCCCAAAGATATTGCAATCTAAATTAAACTCTACAAGACAAGATACTAGGGGAGATAACAGCAAGTAAGGAAATGGAGGAGGAATCTGCTGGGCAGGTTTATGGGCTGTTTGGGAAGTACCTCTATGTAGCATGTCAAAAACTTTTTGCATTTTTAAAAGTAGGGCAATGATTAGCCTGTTATTATGTGGAACAGCGTTGTGGATTACGGAGCTATAGGAAATAGTCTTAAGGAAGGAGTTGCGTGAAGCCTGTGGGAGCAGATCCATAATAATCAGACTGTATGCTGCAGAAATAAATATCCTATTTGACTAGAAAGCCTAGATTTTTTTTTTTACCTCTGTACTGAAATGGAGCAGTGCACTGCTCAGAAGCACTTGAATCTAACAAAGCACCCCCACACCTGGGCTTTCTCTTCTACTTGCTTTTGGAATTCAACCATGAGCTAAAAAAGGACGCTGTCCCCTCCTGCTCCAGAAGCAACTGAAAATAAGTGTAGGTCAAAAAAATAATGACCAGTTTTTTGTTGTTTACTGGTATTTGTTTCCTTTTCTACCTTCTGCTTTTGAAAAATCTGGATTTTGAAAGACTTTTTTCTTTCTCCCTTTTCCCCCTTAAGCCCTCTGCTGCTTTGCTTCTTTTTACTGTATTCTTTACATTAGCTCAGATTTTCTATAGCAGTTACAGGCTTTTGCTCCTCCACGTTTTTGGACTGATGTTCTTGAAAGATCTCACCTCTAGAAATGGCATTTCTTGAGGAAACTGGCAGTTTTACATTTCTTATTCAGCATACCAGGAATTATCTGGACTGGGCTAACACTCTCAGTTACAAGGCAAGACCAGTCTCTTAAAGCACACACATAGCGTTCAATTTTAATGTTGTCTTGTAACTATCTGAAATTCACATTATGCACGTTTCTATTTCATCAAGCATGTACTCTGCCTTGTAATCGTGGATGCTTGCGAAGTATCAGTCTTCAGCCAGGGAAACATCTTGGACATTTTTTAAATCAAAAAATTGCTAGTTTCATCTGAAAAAGATGCATGTAGAGATAAAACAAAATAATTACCATAAAAGATGTCTCTAGCCTGGGATCAACAATGATTTGGCCAAATTGTGCCTATAAACAGATCCAAAGAGATTTCCTAAAGCACTGAGCATTGTTGCCCATAGAAGTGGGTGCTTCATCCCTGGCAGTGTTCAAGACCAGGCTGGACAGGGCCTTAAGCAACCTGGTCTAGTGGAAGGTGCCCCTGCCCATGGCAGGGGGGTTGGAATGAGATGATCATTAAAGTCCCTTCCAGCCCAAACCATTCTATCATTCTGTGATTTTATTTCTGCAACAGATGTGACTGGGTTAACTCCTTCTCTATTGTTGACACTGATTTGCTTTGACATCTTACGTCTCTTACTCCAGAGTGTGTATGTGCAGTGTGACATATGATATTCCCAACAGCTTGACCCCTTAACAAGGGCATGATGCTCCACAAGTTAAATGGAAAGTTTGGGTAGTTTATCTACTTTGTTCTTATATCAAGGCAAGGTTTAATATGAAATTCTACTGGAGGAAAGGAATATCTTACCTGTCACGTAAGAAATCAAAATGTAAGAATGTTCCTACTTTATTTTCATAACAAAAAAAAGTTTATTGCTGACTTGCAGTGGGAGTTTTCCATTACCCTGAAGTAAGTATCAGCATAATACTCTGAAATAATTTTCTGGTTCAGGCAAGTTGGCTTTCCATTATTTACTGGATGATACCGCTTTTCTTATTCACTGTTAAATCCTATTTGGACTTCTGGGCTCAGGGTGCCAATTTTGGCTAATCTGACACATTC